AGTCTCATGTTACTTGTTGCAAGGACACTGTAGTGAATGTCTTCAAGGCATAGACAATTTAAGTTGATGCTCTTATAAAAATAGAAGCTGTGAATGGACAACGCTCAATGTCATTTCAGAGTCACTAGCAATGAAAAGGGATCTATTTAAGGATTTTCTCTGCCTTTCAGTAGTGAAGAAAGTTTTAGGTTGGTTTATACCCACACTGCTTTATTTACAATTGAATTAGAATGAGTGTCACTGGAGGCAAATACTGTGTGCAACATTTCTAAATTCATTTATAAAGATGCCTACTAGATAATGCAGATTCAGTTTCAGGAGTTAAGTTCCTACAGAATTGTAGGTAGGCTAGAGAGAATTATAGTCCCTTCTAATCATTAAAATGTATGCATGAAGTACTTCAAGCCAGCTTATTCATCACTCCTGAAATGCTGACAAAATGCTTAAGGGCTCACTTCTTTACTAAGGTAAAATGAGAAAATTCTCCATTCTTTAAGGTTCAAGAGAATATTGTGCACAGGTAGATCTATTTTTAAATGACACTTCTTATAATGTGCAGACAAAACCATGGATTAGTTACTGCTGTTTCTCAGCATGTTGTTTTGTACATAAACTTGAAGCTATATCAGGGAGAGAAACCCGTGCTAAAAATATTGTAAGGCATGAGACAGAATGCCTTTAATATTCCCTTTTTCAAACATCATCTGAAGACGTATCTCTCACTGAAAATTCTATTCATGTATGAGGCTACTAATTCTTAATGTAAGACACATTCAGATTTGCAAAATATTTTGTATATGTTTGAAGATTTTTATTTAACTTAGTAAAACAATGGATTTAATTATAATGGATGCACATTGTATTGAGATTGGATTGTTTCCATAATAATGTACTTTCTTGTAGTAGCATATAATGATATTGTATATAATAGATATAATGAAACCATTGATGCTACCATTTTAATAGAATCGGAATTCATCTGAACTTAGGTCAGAACTTTCCAAATTATAATCAGTGGAACTTCACTGATTTCCCTGAAATGAATTGTAAAAAGACTGGAAAATAAGACCATTACAAAAATGTTGTTAAATATATTTCTATATTTTAAAGATCATGTTATGAATATTTGAAGAGTTAAATAATATCAGATAAATCTACTAATCAAAAAACTTAAATTTTCTGAATTAGAATTGAAGCTGGAGTGATTTTAGCACTTCCAAATGTTTCTATATCATTCCACACTAAAAAGCTTGGATCACCTTTAAATGAAGTGCATATAAAAAACACTTAAGTGCTTTTGGTAATTTTCAAGCAATATGTACAACATTGCCCAGAATTTGAACTCTTCCAGATTTCGTTTCCAATAAATTTAAATTGCTTTGTGTAGCGAAGAGTAATTTAAAATTATCGAAGTGCTCTAAATTCCACAGTAGAGTACCCATAAAATGTAAAGCCTTTCAATGATTTTAAATCACTATGCATACTTTGGAGACATTTCAGCACATCATATGCTTTGATTTTTAGTTTTCATTGCCTTAATTTGAAAGAGTGAAAAAATGCCAAACCAAAATAGCATTTATTATCAATGAAAGTTCTAACTAATGTGATTTTCAAATTGACTCAGATTTTAACACGTGAAACATACTTGTGTTAGTAATGAGTCAAAAATAAAAAGCTGTAGCCACCATGATAGCAAATATTTATAATACTAATTAAAATTTCTTTGTCAGACAAGATTGAATGTATTATTCTAGTATATTTTCACAGTGGGCGCATGGTATAGTTTTCTGTTTTACAAAACCCATGTGAGTGTGAAAGGTAGCTTTATTTATATGAAATAAAATAAAAGCTACTAAGTCATAAAAGATTGGAAAGTCTGATACAAAATAATTTAAACGACATAATTCTATGCCTGAGAAAAAAATAAAGTTTAAGAAACCACTAATTAGAAGGTGGCTTCCACACTCACATGTGATGTGTAAAATAGAAAATTATACCATTGGCCAACTGTGAAATTTACAGTGTTATTAATAAAAAATCTGATTTGATTCGAAGTTAAGAAAACGTAATCACTCAATTACATTTGAAAATATTCAAAGAATAACCAACAAAGGCAATAAAAATTCTTCGAAATTTAAAGTAACAAAAAATTTCTATTTTGATTATAAGAAAACACAACAATAAAATTTTGTTGACAATTACTAACAAATATTAGAATAGTACATACATGATTAAGTAGAATTCATATGATTGATAGTATACTCAATTAAATTAAGAGCAATAAAATGCTGGTGTACCAAGGGGGCTGATAAATAACACCATTCTTGTATGCCCAAGTTCTAAATCAAATGAGAAACTGGATAAGAAACCGTTAAAGTTAAACCAGATTCTACCTGATTAGTGCTTTCTTGTGGGAAAGGGGCTTATGATACTAGATTCCAGAATTGTTCAAGGATGTTCTGTCTAAAGAAGAGATTCTTCCTTAGGAACAAACTGTTTTACTATGGGCCAGAGGAAACAGCAGTGCATATGGCCTTCAAGAATCTCTTAGTTCCTAAGAAAAAGGAAACAGAGAGTTGTATTCTTTGTAAAGAATTCTTCTTCCTCAACTTAGCCGTTAACATTAACTCGTCTACACATCGTGAATAGAATGAAACGAGGAGTGGATAGATAATAAAGTGTTACATAGAGTGCGCATCTGTAATAGAGATAGAGCATTCTCTTTTCATGTGAGACAGTGCATCAGTGAGGAGAAATCTATTATACGAATATTACTTCCAAAAATTCTTAAGACAAGGTAATTGATTATTTCAACAGATGATACAAAGCCCTGTATAATATTTAAAGATAAAATAAAATTGTATAAAATGTCTCATTTTTATTAACTTGATCATGAAATTATATGAAATAAAATAAAAGCAACTAAGTTGTAAAAGATTAACAAGCTTGATACAAAATAATTTAAATGATATAATTCTATGCCTGAGAAAAAAATAAAATTTAAGAAACCACGAAATAGAAGTATTTATATGAAGTTTATAACTTTTCCTTATACCAGCAAAGTACTTAGAGAGTAAATGATAGATAACAAGCTGTTTCATAATTGCAACAAAAAAAGGGAAGGAAGAAAATTCTGTAAGACAATTGTATGATCAAATGGAATATAATTAAAGAACTTTATTTTAATTATATGTTTATATAAGTGTCTAATAGGACAAGAAGACTAATTAAAATCTAATTGTTTTCTTTATATAAATACTAATATAAATATTCTGAACCTATTAAAAATAAATTTATTGTTTGGATAAAATTCTAATTTATAGTAAGTGGAATATCAGACAGAAGACTTAACAAATTTATTTTAAAGTTAATCTCAAAAAATAAAAACAAAAGCAACAATATAGCCCTGAAATTCTGGTTACTCTTTGGCAGTGAAAGCTCCTTAGAGTCCATCCACCCTACTCATTGCAACTATAAACTTTGGATACATTTTTTAGAGTAAGAAAAGTAAGTTAAAAATACCCTAATTGAAAACTCTGAAAATAAAGAAATTACATTTTTTAAGAGAAGTTAAAATTTGAAAAAGCAACTGTCATAAAGTGACATTGAGATACCATATAAAACTACATTGAGATACCATCTCACACCAGTTAGAATGGCAATCATTAAAAAATCTGGAGACAACAGATGCCATAAAACTACATTGAGATACCACCTCAATGAAAAATAATGAGATGAATAAAAACGTGAAAAAGAATTCTTCATTATTTTTTTCTCTGGGAATTTTTTTTTTTTTTCCCCATTAGCAGAGTAGAAAAGCATAGGTGACTAAAAGTCTTGCTAGACACTCGGCTATCTATCTGGCTAGGAAAAAAAAAATTAATGGACATCCTGGGAGCTCGAGAGAGAAATGAGGTTCAGGAGGACAGTAAGGGATGAACACCTCTACAGATAGTAAATATCAGCAGAGACAAAGGAATGTGACAAAGAAAACAAATAGAATTTTTTTTTTTTTTGAGATGGAGTTTCACTCATGTTACCCAGGCTGGAGTGCAATGGCGCGATCTCGACTCACCGCAACCTCCGCCTCCTGGGTTCAGGCAATTCTCCTGCCTCAGCCTCCTGAGTAGCTGGGATTACAGGCAAGCGCCACCATGCCCAGCTAATTTTTTGTATTTTTAGTAGAGACGGGGTTTCACCATGCTGACCAGGATGGTCTCGATATCTTGACCTCGTGATCCACCCGCCTCGGCCTCCCAAAGTGCTGGGATTACAGGCTCGAGCCACCGCGCCCGGCCAAATAGAAATTTTTTAATGGATAATAAAATATCTGAAATTAAAAATTTATTAAATAAGTCAAAAAAAAAAAAAAAAAAAAAAAAAAAGAAAGTGGGAAAATATATTAAACATATAATATGTTCAAAAAGCCAGATCTAACTTCTTACTGCCTGCAAGGAATCCACTTTGAATATAAAGAAAAAGGTACAAATTAATAGATCAGTAGAAATTACGCAACATAAAGAACATAGAAAAATAAATGAGACTAAAGAGAAACTTTGAAATGGAAAAATAAGAAAGCTCAGAACCTGAAGGACAATATTAAAATGTCTAACACACGTGTAATTTCAGTACCCAAAGGTAAAATTGGGGCATACTTCCAAATATTCAAAGGCTTTCAAAAGCTGCAATACAGTAAATGACGTACATTTACACATTAAAGAAACTCAGCAAATTCCAACTAGTATAAGTATAACAGCAAAATGCCTAGGCAGATAAAAAAGGGGTCGCTGGAGAATTTCCAGCCTTCCCCACAAGTGTTTAGACCAGATGCTTTTGTGCAGATGAGGGAACCTGCCCAGGGCTTATATGGGCATGCCCACAGCGCACTGGAGCCTGACATGCGCACTGGGGCAAGTGTGTGGAGCCACGAGAAATTCATGCCTTGCACACGGGAGGAGCCTGCCTTCCTCAGCTCCTGTGATGACCTGGGAATCAACGTGTGAGGTGGGGGCTTTTAAGCAGAAACCCCTCTCACTTTGCTAGTGGTTTGTTTGTTTTTTGTTTTCCTTTTTGCCCAGCAGAACCCTGCTCTACTCATCCTTCAATGTGCCCACGTGCCTTAATGTTCCTGGTCGTGTGAAAAGAACCCAGGTTTTAGCGGAACTAAGGAGCATAATTCTGCAACATTTTGGCACCCAAACATGGGGCTTGAGAAAGGGTAAGTGCGAGCCAAAAAAACCCTTTTTTTGTTTTGCTTCTAAGCCTTTGTGTCCTCTGACATTTTCTTAGGGTAGAGGAAATTATGCCTCCTTCCCCTTCCCTCCAGTCACTTCCAGGGGTCGGGAATGTCAGCCTTTTCCTTTTTTTCAGGGAAGGATCCGTGAACCAGAGGCTCTCTGCTCCCTTCTTAAGTTTCTTGCCCTGTCGGAGGATTCATTTGCATGAGAATAAGATGTTCTTCCCACAGGAATCTTTTCAATCCTGCACTTCAAACTTTTCTGCCTTTCCCTACCCTGCCAGCAGTTAACTTTTAAGTGAGAGTTTTTATTTTTTCCTTTTAGAAGACATTTTACTAGGCCAGGAATTATAAGGATCACTGTTTATATTCTCTGTAAAGTTTTAATTATTAAAAAGGATTCCTGAGATTGATCTTAATCTGTAGCCAATCTAGTGTGCTTTGCATGATTTTCTGTATGGGTCAGTAGCAAACTTTGCTGCAGGTCCTCATCTTGTTTTACCTCCTTGAAATTGTGACCTGTAACCTCAGGGCAATGTTTTGTTTAGCCTCCATTATTTTACAATGGCAGCTGTGTTCAATCCGGGCCTAGGGAATAAACGCTTTCTGGTTTGATATCTGCGTGACCTTTGCAATTTGTTGACTCTTTTCCCCTTCACAAACAGCCTGGATTTTTTTTCCCTGAGCCTTCAATAAAGTTTGAAAGCCAGAAATATTGGCTGCTTGACACAACTAAAATCAGATAACAAGGGATTTAAAATAATACTCTTAAAGAGCGCTCAGCTGAATTAAAAGTGGATATCCAAGTTATAAGCACATTTAAAAGGCATTTATGTTGTTGTTGTTATTGTTTTTCCTTGGATTTTGTTTGGCTGGAAAAAGGGATTTTTCTCCATTTTGTCTTGCCGTTCTTGATGCATGCAGGAGAGGCCCTAAGATAATTCTGGGGGCCATGGGACTTCTTGGGAAAAACAGAAGACGCTACTGACCCTATTTTGGGAAGAAATCTGTTTTCCTCATGGAACCTCAGGAATTAGAAGCAGATAGATCCCTGTCAAAATCTGTTTTTGCCTCCCAGTTATGCCTGTTTATTAAGCCCTAGATGCTTCATGTTTTCCTAGCCCTGTCTCTGAAAGGTATCCGCCTGGAGGACAATAATCCAATTATGAGATTGGGAAATGGAAAATCTTGCGGATGCTGAGTTTTCTTCTGCCTGTCTGTGAAGTTATATATGTTTTGTGTTTGAGATGTTTATAAAAACAGCTCTAATTAATTGGCCTAACTAAAAATAAGCACTTGAATATTTTTTAGAGGAAAGATAAAAGCTGTGGTAGCTTTAATCTTTGATAAATAAAAACTGCCTTATAGGTTATTGGTGAAATGCATATGCATCAAAATGTAAATAGCTGGAGTAAATTATGCAGGTTTGCTAAATGTCTTAAGGTTATAAACTGCTCTTTGTGAATGATTCAATTTGCTGGCTTCACAATTGGTAAGGCCTAGGAAGAGATGTTACCAAATATACCCTTAATTGTGCTGGAAGGAGTCAAACCTTGGCTGCACCTAGCTCATAATTGAAATAACTTACCAAGTTTTACATTAAAGGTAAAAATTGCTACGAGTTACCATTATAATGTAATTGACACTACTAAAAATATATTTACATTTGAAGTATGTAAGAACAGTAAAATGTGTTCTTAGTAAAAGATAATAAGAAGGCATAGAAATGTAAATTTGCCTAAGGTTAAAAGATTGTTTTCAATTAAATAAGGTAATTCTGTAAGTTCAGACAAGTTTTGGAAGAATTGTAAAATTAATCTTGCAAAGGAAATTCTGTGTGTGAACATATCGAAAAAAATTCAATGGATATTATATAATTTTTCTCTAAATTCAGTATTGAAATAAAAGCACAACAAGGGACCAGGCACACACCTGTAATCTCAGCCCTTTTGGAGGCTGAGGCAGGTGGATCACAAGGTCAGGAGTTCAAAACCAGCCTGGCCAAGATGGTGAAACCCCTTCTCTATTGAAAATACAAAAATTAGCTGGGCGTGGTGGCAGGTGCCTAAAATCCCAGCTATTTGGGAGGCTAAAGCAGAGATTTGCTTGAACTGGTGAGAGAGAGGTTGCAGTAAGCCGAGATTGTGCCACTGCCCTCCAGCCTGGGCAACAGAACAAGACTTCATTTTGAAAAAAAAAAAGAAGTACAACAAGGCACTCTTAAAGCACTGAGCTACTCTTTAGCAAAATTTGTAAATGGTTAGATTTTTGCTTTTTAAATTTCTGAGTCATTTTGGCAAAGTAAATAATTTATGATAATCTGGAATTCCATTTCATAACATCAAGTATTTAAAATCTCTAACATACTTAACAGACTTCTCAAAAGCAAACTTCAGTTTTAAAATTGTCTTTCTTGACACCAGGCTTTTAGATGCTACAGAGTGCCCCTAGAGTATCAAAAAAAAAGGTGAACAGGATTGTCTCGTATGTTCTAGGTACATGGGATTGACAAAATGATGTTAAATCTTTTTTTAGGTCATATTTTGGTGAATAATATTAATATATATTCCAAAATTTTATGGGATTTCTAAAATTCTAATGTTTGAGTATATGCTATCAATCATAATTATAGTTATTATGTTAAGTTATTGTAAACCACAGAGATAACCAAATTTATTTGTCAATTATGTTTCTGACTGTAACTACCCTGGACATTTTGTCACTCGCAGACCATTGTTGTCTTGTTTTCATCCTCTTCAATGGTCGGTTTACAATAAGCTATGGAACTTTGACAGGTGTTCTCAAATGCAGTTTTCTGATAACATTGGAGATTGTGACATTGGAATAAAGAAAAAACATACAGGACTCATGAAAATTAAAATGTTCACAGATATCAAGCAAAACAAGAGTTAACTGAATGAATTAAGAGAAAACTGAGGTAATCTTTTTAATTTTTGCTTGGAATATTGCTGATCATTGCTTTGTTTTTCAGAGTCCAGCAAACTTATTTTGAGTTATTTATGACCTTTAATAATTGAGTAAGATGCCCTCCTGTGGACAAAATTTGGAACATATTATCTCGCCCTGCCTGGCCTCTTCAGAATTTAGAAACTAGTAGGGAGCATTCTTAAATCATGGCGGTATAGTCATTTGCATCAGTGCAGTAAGAATTCTTTTTCTTTTGCAACAGAATGCAATTGGAGAAACTGATTGTTTTACCAGGCTTTGATTGGAAAGATTTGCTTCCCTTTAAGTAGTCAAGATCAACTTGCAGAGCTGATGAGAGCCCCTTGGGAAAACTGGCATCACACCTTTGTCTACACAGTCCACATACAGGGTTCTTAATCTGTGGTGAGTAAAGAATATCACTTTCTAACAGGCCCAGATACCATGTGCTCTTGGGACCTCAAGAAGAGAGGAGTTTACCCAACTCACAGGTGTTTGAAGCTACAAATCTAGGGCTTGGGTCAACTTTAAATGGTCTTATCTGAGATTTCTTATGGAACAGATTTCCATCAAAGCTAATCTGAAGAGCCTGTAATTATTCTTGCTGCACTTTATGCAAAGAATTAAGCCAAGTGTAAGACTAAAGTCTATTTTGCAAGTAACACAACCCTATCATGATTTGTTTTTAACAGAAATGAGAACTAGACAGAGAGAAATTATGTTTTAAAACTTATCATCATTAGTTCCTAAACTCATTATTTGTTTTTAAGTTTTTGCCTACATTTTAGACTAACCCTGCTTGTTCCTGTGAACCAACCAGCACTCTCTGACTGCAGATCAGAAAGTACAAAAGGGGATGGATAATGTAAAAATTTGGATCAATATTTTAGTTCTGAACAATTATCCTGCAAATCCTGCCAGCTGATGAGAATAAATAGGATGCCCATCATCCAGAGGTTTCCTTTTTGGGAAAGTAAAACCAAGGGAGCTAACCAAAGCAAAGCCCCACGTACCCTACTCTTAGCAAGCATAACTATAAACACCAGTTATCTGGGTGTGTCGCAAGATATCCTTTTCTTTCCCTTGTTGGAGGAGAACTCAGTTCCACAGCTTCCCTTCAGCATTTGGCTAATGATAATGAGTCCATGCAATCCCCATGCTGAGACACATTTTTGGTCCCAAACTGAATTCCAAGCTTTGTGTCAAAGGTCTAAAAAAACTTGATCTTAGGGATCCAGAAGCCAGACAATAATGAAAGTCAAAAGACACAGCACAGGTGAGCATGACTCGATCAAGCCAAGTTTCCCATTTCATGGATAAAGGATATGCTAGTACCCATGGCTAAAATGAAGCCTAGAGAATTCAAAGGCTACTTCCAGGAGGGGAGATATGGAGTATGTGAGAAAGAGCAGCTATTCCCACCCCCTAGGCCCCCTGTAACCATGAATGTAAGCCACTTTGACACCCATGGGTGGCACGTGGCAGAGTTGCCAGGATTCAGCAATACAAGGAAAGAAAGAGGAACACCTCACATTCTCTCTATTTGCTGTAGAAAGAAACCAGACACACCTGCTCACCTATTTTTCTAGATGAGTAGCCATTTCTCTTTAGCCTGTACCCCTTTATAACACATCCTAAACCCCTGGAACTCTTCTGAAATAAATGCCTTCTTTTCTGCTTTTTCTTCCTCTGTCCTCTATTCACTGGTAGGTAAGTAGTGGTGTCTCTGTACCACAGGATGCTTTTTTCAGATGCGTACTTCAAACTGAGAAGAGGTAATTTCTCAAACCTTTGAATAGTTGGCTTAGGACTGGGTTCAGGGGAAGGGAACCCAGAAGCCTGACATGCCAGCAAAAAGGTAAAAGGTTTTTTTTTTAACCAGTTGGGTTTTTGGCCTCCCTCTTCCTGTGCAAACTCGTAAAAGCCCTCCGTATTTTCGAGTTGTCCTTAACCCCTCCTTGTTTGGTTCTGATACATGTTTTCTAATAAACTGGTTTGTCTCTTCTCACCTTCAGGCTATCAAACTCCAAAGGGTCTGCAACTGGAGCCTCGGATGATGGACTTTTTTGCTGGGAACCCTTAGATAGGTCTCTGAGTGAAATCTGACTGTGGTTTTCCCAAAATAGCTTCCCTGTCAGCAGGAAGCAATTAAAATTGGTCTTCATCCTTATCTTTATCCTTATTCTAATGGCAGTTAGATGTACTTCTTTAGATGGGGTAATGAAACAGCCACATGCCTAGCTAGATAAAAGGGTGTACCTAGAGAATTTCTAACCTTCCACACAGTATTTACATCAGATGCTTTTGTGCAGATGAGGGAACCTGCCCAGGGCTTGTCTGGGCATGCCCACAGTGCACTGGAGCCCTGTATGGGCACTGGGGAAAGTGGGTGGAGCCACTTATGCATGGGAGGAGTCTGTTCTCTTCACCTCCTGTGGTAACCTGGTGAATCAATCTGTGAGGTGAGGACCTGTTAGCAGGAACCCCTGTTGCTTTGCTGAAAGATATTTTTCCCCCCAGCAAAATCCTGCTCTACTCACCTTTCAATGTGTCTTCATTCCTAAATATTCCTGTTCACGTGACAAGAACCCAGGTTTTAGATGAACTAAGAGACAAAATTCTGCAACATAGGTCTAAAAAATCTATGCCTATATCTGTTAAATCAAATTGTTAAAAAGCAAATATAAAGAAAAAGTCTTCACAGCACTAGAGAAAAATGAAACACTATACATAACAGAAATACTAACCCGAATAGATTGTCAGAAACCATGACTAGAAGACAGTCGAGCAATGTTTTCAAATTTCAGAGAGAAAGAAAGGAAAAAAAAAAAAANAAAAAGAAAAAAAAGAAAAGAAGACATAATAAAATACCTGTCACTTTAGTATTCTATACCCATGGAACATAACCTGCAGCTGAATGTGAAGTAGACATATTCAGGTGAATAAAAAAATCAAGAGAACAATAGTTATATTCTACATTAAATTATAAAGGAAGTTTCTCAGGCAAGGTGGAAATTATGCTAGTCAGAAACAAATTCTAAGGACTAAAGAAAGAGATATTAGACTCACATAGTGAATTTTTTTAAAACCAGATCTAACTTCTTACTGCCTACAAGGAATCCTCTTTGAATATAAAAAATAGGGAATAATTACATTGCTAAAAAATACATTTCAAACAAGAAATGAGGACATGCAGCTTTGAGAATATATATTAACAAAAAAGTACTTCTTCAACCAAAAAAGATATTATGCATAGTGATAGAAATAAAAATTTATTAGAAAAATAATATCAATTATAATGTATACACCTGATAAGAAAGCCTCAAAATACTTGAAGCAAATCTGACAGCATTAAAAGAATGAATAAATAATTTCACAATTATAGAAAAAGATTATTAACACCAGCTTCTTAGTAAGTGATACAACAACTAGGGCAATAATAAGAAAACGAAAATAAAGACACAGATCTAAATAACACTTTGGACTAATTGATATTTCTAGAAAACTGCAAAGTCAATATTGTTTTCCAGTGTTCATGTATATTCACCATGGTAGACCCTTTACTGTACATAACCTAATGTTGATAAGTTTAAATAGATTCACAGTTTACAGAATGTATTATCCAGTTGCAAGGAAACCTAATTAGAAGTTAGTAACTGTACTCTAGGAAAGCAAAGCTCTTTTAAATGATCTATTGGTTAAAGAGGAAATCTCTAAAGAAGTATAAATTCAATGAAAAGAGAGTTTAGTTTTACACATTGTTTTGTTCCCAGAATCTAAAAGAGACCCTGGCAATTAACAAATGCTTAACAATTATTATTATAAGAAGTTCTGCAGGAGATAGAGAAGGAAATGATAAGGAAATATGCCATGATTTTTTATGAGAAATAAGTGAACAGATTTGTCATGAAAGATGTAACAGAGGCCCAGCATGGGGCAGGATCACAGTAAACATTGGCCCACCTCTGAGAAAACACACAAGACTAATCGTTAAGAACCTATGCCTACCAAAGACATCACTTAGAGTTTCCAATCAAGACTGTTACAAACTCAATAAACTAGAGCAATTTTCTAAAATTATTGATTCTTTAGTTCCCTAATACAAAAAACTTAAGTAATAATGAAGCATAGATTTTTTTTTTTTTTGCAAGCTTAATTTTAGTGATTTATGTTAAAGAGCTCAGTAGAGTAACTGGTTCAAAACAAAGAAATCAATGAATATCACAATTGTATGCTGTTAAGGCCAGAAAGACTAAGCATCTGATTCTTAACATCAAGGTTTGTAAGACTCTGTGAACTTTGTAACCTCACTTAATCTCTTAGATATGTTTTCTTTAAAGAAAACATGGGGAAAAAATAAGCATTTGTGTGCCATGGAGCAATTTAGAAATCATTTCTTGAGGAAAAATGGCTAATATAATATTAACATTATTGTGATTAAATGAATTAGAAGGAGGTTCTACAAAGAAAAGTAGGTCAATTTAGAGAATAAATGTAACCTACAAATACAGTAACTCATTTTATCAAAGAGCATGTTGGTTTTATCATGGATTTTTGCATAGTGAATAAAACACACTTGATCTTCTTTAGGAAATGAAATATTATTAAGAAATGAGTATATAGAGGCCTAGCACTATATTTGAAGTGACTCTTTAAGGTCATACAAATTGAAAAAGCAAAACCGAAGACAGAAAAATCAACTTGCAATGAGAGTCAGTATTGCCTACAGGAATTAACAAAGGAAAAGACTAAAAACTCTGAATACTTAATATGTGAGTTTAAGTTTTTTTAGATGTTGTCACATTTGTTACTTTCCTTTGTCTCTGCTTCCTCTCTCTGAATTAAAACCCATGTTTTGATTTGTCAAATAAATATGTAGTGAGTACCCACTAGGTATAAATCCTTGTACCAGTTGCCACAAAAAAAGGCTGATACCTATTACATAGAGACTTAGAATGTACTAGAAACAATAAAAAAAAGAGCTACAGATAAATGTGACAGAAATAGAATATATCTAAAATCCCTTTAAAATTATAATTTGTAATTTTAATTCAATCTGTAGCAGTCCAGTTAGTCTTAAATACTTATGTAAATTCTATGGACTGTGTTTGTAAACTCAGGATTAAAACAAGTAGCCTGCAGATTTTCTGTAAGGATTTATTAAAATGGTATATATAAAGTGCTTGCCTCGTATAAAGTAAATCACTTCATATATAGTAGTTACTGTTATGTTTGGGGAAAACCATGAAAGTTTTATGAAAAATGTGTCCTTTGAGCTTTTACAAACAACTTAGTGAGTAGAGTCTGAAAGTTAAATGTGAGGCTGTGTGTGCACATTGTGTGACCCACTAGGACAATCTGTTGAATTCTATAAACTACCTGTCAAAATATGTATTTAAATGCATAAATTACATAGAAATACATAGAATTACAATAAACATAAAATATATTGAAATTTATTACAGTTACAATTGTAACATATATGCTTCTCATAACACGATAAATAAGAAAGCATTTAAGACTAGGCAAGTTAAATTTTATGTTTCAAGAAGGATTAGTGAAATGACTATAATGGCTAAACATTTAACTCTAGGCTGGTTTTAACTGCCTTTTACACACTGATCAGCAAATGACTGAGAATGGACAATGATGCAAAGTAACTTCTTGTCTGGGTCAGAAGTGGAGAACTACAAATTTAAGTGTTTTGTGGCCGAATGACTATAGCCAGGCCCCATATAGCTCAATAGATGGCCAGTTTTATCACATAGCCATCTGTTAACAGGAAAATGGTAATCACTAATATTTTGTATATCAAGATAATTATTGTGATTTTGCAGTAAAGATAACTATAAATGGCATTTTGAGGTATCTGCAAAAGATATATCAAATGAAAGTAATCTGAAATTTCAAAGATGTATTGTTTCCATGCCAAATTTCAAAATCCCTGAATTACACATACAGATTCCATGATTCCAAGTTAAGAAACGTGTGTTTGACAAAATACCTTCAGCAGGAATAATGAAAACCCTGACATTTCTATGTGCGTGACAACTGTTTGGAAAACTTAAAAAATAATAAATCACTGAATCTTTATAAAAATCCGTAAGTTAGGTGTGTATTAGCTTATATGGCAGATGAGGAATCTGTGACATTGGATAGAAAAATAATTTGCTAAAGTCACATAGATTGTGAGTAGGAAACTGGAAACTGAACACCAACTGTATTGCTCCATGTTCAGTGGTTAAGGCTTTAATAACTACACTAGAAAGCTTATTTAAAAGGCTTTTTCACAGATGCATGTATTCTCTTCTACATAATTAGTAATGAAATTTTAGTAACGTCTGTAGCAAAAAGAACCAAGTTTAGATTGTTGTACAAAATGGCAAATGCTTGGAAGGTCAGTTATACCACAAAAGGTTGTTTGAAGCTAGGCGCAGTGGCTCACATCTGTAATCCCAGCACTTTGGGAGGTTGAGATGGGTGGATCACAAGATCAGGAGTTCCAGACCAGCTTGGTCAATATAGTGAAACCCTGTCTCTACTAAATATACAAAAATTAGCCGAACGTGTTGGCATATGCCTGTAATCCCAGCTACTAGGGAAGCTGAGGCAGGAGAATCGCTTGAACTTGGAAGACAGATGTTGCAGGGAGCTGAGATCATGCCACTGCACACCAGCCTGGGTGACAGAGCAAGATTCTGTCTCAAAAAAAAAAAAAAAAAAGATTGTTTAAACGATCAATGATCAAACACACCTACTACTGGCAACAGTGAGAAAGAATGTGTAGGTCATCCTGAAGAGTCAACATCCTCATCCAGGTCTATTAAATCTAACCTCTCCTATATTACTTTCTCATTTTTAATTTAGTATTTTTCATATGCTGCCATATATATGTCATTTTTCACTCTATATAATTTGGAAAGATGTTCTTTAAACAATAAAACAAAATTATTGACCACACCCTCAACACTGGGTGATCACATATTTTTTTTTGGCTCAATAATTTATCCTTATATAAAAAAGTAATATTCTCCTGACAGTATAGAAGACTAATTGGTATACATATATATGATTAAATAACTATGTATATTCAACCTGAGAATCACTCTTTGATTTTCACAATTCTCCTTGAATATCAGGTTGTTGAAGGGATATCATACTTCTAGAAGTCCAGACTGAAAATGTGATCTTTGAAAACACAGGTATCAACAGGTTTTCAAAATATTTTAGTATAAAACAGAATTATTTCCTAGTAATTTATTAATGTTTATATACAACATATAGCCTTTTGGGATATTAAATATTTTTATTTTATCTTTTGTGACACTATGAATGATTGGAATCTTTCATGTCTACCATAGTGATTTTAAAATGCACTAAATAAATGTAAAAATAATAACTAATCATCAGAAGCTGTAGGTATTCAGATATTAAAAATTATGATTTAGTCACCTTTATGGAAGCATTTAAGTGAGCAAGAAGCTCAATGTGAATTTCATATGTCATTACAAAAAAAAGTCATAAATTAACATGATTCATTACATTACTGCCACAAATAAGTAACTTAGTAAAAAAAATAATATCTCGTGATATTATGTAGTAACTCATCATAACATTTGAATCTTCTAAAAGAGTCAAATCCAGGTGGTCATGTGTACCTAATGGATTGCAGGTCTTTTCCATTGTAGACTGAATACAATTTGGAAATGTGGATTTGTCAACCAGGAAATGTATGAGACATGAAGGTGCTGTCTGAGATAGTTGGTCCTTCAGAAATCTAATAGAGCAATAGTCTAGATATACTGAAGGATAATAGTTATAAGTTAATAAACTCTGTATTTGTTCGCATAGGTTTAGTGTGATTCAGTAGGAAAAACTCATGAAATACTGCTATGGCCTTTAGAAGACTGAAATGCAAGCTTCCTTAAGCAACAGGTTGCTGAGCAGATTTCAGACTCTTAGAAGTCCTGTCCAATACTGCAGTGTATTTATGTAGATCCAGTAACTATCTGACAACTGAAATTGTCCGGTAAAGCTCCTATATTTCATCCACCTTAAGATAAAGTAATGCTTGTTAAATTTTTCATATTAAAGAATCATTTGGTTATTGGCTAAATTTTAATGAGCCATGGTTTTAATTTAGTAAATTTTTAACATAAAATTATGCTAAACAAGGCATGATATACAAACCAAAAGACTTTAATTTCTTATGCTTCTTTTTATGATGCGATGCACTTTGCCATTTAATAATTAAATTTTTATGCTATAAATTTAATAGTTTTACATATGTATAACCTTACATATATAAATTTAATTTACATATGTAAGATCATACATATGTAAAACTTTATATAGCAGTCTCAGGATTTTAAGGTGGCTTGAGGGTTAGATGTAAGGAAATTTTAGGCAGATTAGACTGTCTTTAGTAGACTGAATTCATTTTTTTTTTTTTTTTTTGAGACAGTTTTGCTCTTGTTGCCCAGGCTGCAGTGCAATGGCGCTATCTGGGCTCACTGCAACATCCACCTCCCAGGTTCAGGCAATGCACCTGCCTCAGCCTCCTGAGTAGCTGAAATTATAGTAGACTAGATTTTATCAAGGAATGCATTTCTTCTAGAAAAAATAGATACACTTTCAAAGATACATTAATGTACATGAGAGCTTGCCTATGTGCACCATAGAAAGCCAAAAATGAAGAGGTTATCATCTAATGACACAAAGTTCTCATCTTTCATAAGCTTGCAATTGCTTTTCTTATTAAAGCTATCTCACCTTTCTTTTTCAGGAAACACTTTCTGAAAATGTCAACTCTTGAAAACATGGATGAGGAAAAGCATAAGGACTGCTTTATGCTTGTCTTATGAATTTTAAAAGATGTATTTTAAAGGTACTTTAAAGGGTGTTATTTGTGCCCTTGTAACTGATTCAAAGTAGACTGCTAAGGAAAATAAGTAGTGAGTCCACAAATATCAATAAATTATGAGAAAAATTATCTAATGGTACTTAAAATTGCATTGTGATTTATTAAATAAGATACTGAACAGCTCTACCTGTAACATTAAGATTCCATTTGAGCATATAGAAAATATATTTAATGCAACCTGAAGTGATTTGGAAAGTATGCTGGCAAGAAAATATATTTACAAGTTAGTCTCAGAGGGTAGATATACCGTAGCCAGATGGAATAAGAAGAGAGGGTAGGGGGATTTTGATCAAAGCGGGAGCATAAGCTAAGGAATAAAGCCACAAACAATTATTAGGTAAAGTGCAATTAGCTGAATATTGCATAAGCATATGTACGGGAAGGAGTAGAGAAGGGAGTGACAATATGAATCTGAAGACTTTAGAGCACTCAAGATAATACTTCCTAGCCTATTCCGAGAAATCTTATTTTAGAGGGCAATAGGTAATAACTCTAAGGATATAGGTAGGAAAAATGCATTCTAGTCTATGTTTTGAGTAATGGACTGAAAATAAAAGATCAACAAATTGGAGGATGGAGTGAAAATGTGATAGAATTGAAAACAGAAAAACAAATTAGCCTAATTTCATAGGTACTTAAAGAAAATATGGAAAATAGTAAGTTAGTGATACAAATCTTTTCTAATTCACCAGGGTGCGTGAACAAAAGAAATCAGATTTAAAAGTATTAGTGACATATATGCAATAAGATTTCTGAGTCAGAGCAAATTGAGGGAAGGGAATAATTAGAGGATCGTAGAATGTCTTGCTTGTAGACTAATAGGATATCAATAAGCAGTCTGAACAATAATTTTAAATACTTTTTGTAAGTATCATGAAGGTGAACCCTGAACCCTGTTTAGAACAAATTAGATGCAGCTGGAAAATTGTTGCTTAGCAGGAAAGCTTGTGCTGGACAAATAGATGGTCAAACTGAATAGTTTTCTTAAGCTGAACTAATTGAGACAAATATCCTTATTAATTAAAAAAATTAAAAATGGAAATAACTTACCTATTATAGGGTAAAAATTTTATTTACATACACAAGACTATGTGCTGTTTATGTGTATGTACATATGTTTATGTAGTAATAATACATACATAGTGCTATTTTTAAATGATTTTTCACATGATGTTATCCCTCCCCTCTGTCTCTCCTCTACCCCGGTAACTGCCCCCAGTGTGTGATGCTCCTCTCCGAGTCCACGTATTCTCATTGTTCAATACCCACCTATGGGTGAGTATTTTTAAATGATTTTTCAATTATTGTTATTGGTCTGTGTTATTTTAATCATCAAAGCTGATTGATTTCTGGGTTTTTTTGTTTGTTTGCTTTTTTGATGGGGAGTCTCACTCTGTCACCCAGGGTGGAGTGCAGTAGCGTGGTCTTGGCTCACGGCAACCTCCATTTCCCAGATTCAAGCCATTCTTGTGCCTTAGCAGGTATGCACCACCACACCCTGCTATTTTTTTGTGTGTTTTTAGTAGAGATGGGTTTTGCCATGTTGGCCAGGCTGGTCTTGAACTCCTGACTTCAAGTGATCCTCCTGCCTTGCCTTCCCAGGCCGGGCTGATTCCTAGTTTAAATAAAAACTTACAGAGATCTTCCCACAAGTACTTTATCTTACAATTTACTGAACAATAGAGGCAGTGAAGATCTTGTTTTAGAAAGCAATTTTGATTCTGACTTTTTTTTTTTTATAATCCTGTGCTTTCCTCATGTTTTTTCATACTAAAAGTAATAGCTCTCAGGATGGCACCTGGGATTTGTAACAACCTACCATCATTTCCTGCATGATCTTCTTTATGTCACTCCTCCAAATGCAAAGTATATACCCTCAGTGTCATTACATTATTTGATTTTTGCCGTTTCCTCACCGTTCCATGTGTTTATTTGCATATGTCCATCTCCTAGTCACATTTTATCTGTTTAATGCCAACTTGACTTTCAATGCTGTTCAAGATTTACCTCAATCTCAGTGTTTTCTCTTTATATTCCATGCATGCTTGGATTGGCTGACAATCCTCTTGGCTGCCAAAGAATCCCAAAATATCTCTTTCAAAAATACAAGAAATAAAGGAAGGAGGGTAGGAAGGAGGGCAGTCAGGGAAGAACAAAGAAAGGAGGGGAGAGAAAAGAAGAGAGAAAGATAATTTAAAGTTAAGGAGGAAGAATTTCACACTGAATTAAAACTGGTAGTATTCAGGGATGATTTCAGACTAGGATACAGTGATAGATATTAGTTAAAATAATGAATTATTCCAAAAGATCATGATTTGTAAAAATTACCCTGAAGCATTCTAGGAATATTACATTGAAGTAGGTATGCAATTTCAAAAGAAACCGGACTGCAAAAGTAGGCTTTGTATGTATCTATGGACCAGAATATTATATTTTGCTTAAGTTTGAAGTGTTAAAGCACCAACTTCTTGTTTTAACCTAACAAAAAAATTTTCCACATAACTTAAGATTATATTTGATTTTTTTCATTTCTCATAACAGTTGGAATTCTACTTTATTGAAAATTACATAATAAAATGTTAAAAAATCTTTGTTCCCACAGTTATGTAATCTTATTCAAATAGTCAATAAATTATTAAATTAAAATAAAACCCACTAAGCATAATAATTTGAGAAAAATGATTATTTAAATATATACCATTTAAAGGGTCAATGCCTTTTAATATTATAGTGCAGTAAAATAACCCCATCATTATTTAATACACCAAGCATAGGAGGATATAAAATCTTTTTCTCTTGTATATTACACTATCTGATGTATTTAGCTGTGATGACATTCCAGAAAACATCACTTTTTAAAATTTCTAAGATTTTATTATGCTGCTAGCAAATCAGTTGTTTCAAGTACTGTAACAAAATCCCTAAACGGGCTTTATGAGAACTATTTTCAATGTGATCATTAATCATATTTTATTTATCATCCATACATAGATGGTATCTTATCTGGTTTTCCTAGTGTCTGAAGTGAAGTGTAACACACACCCACATACAATACCAATTAAATTATAAATATATAACCATTCATTTTCAAACATTTCTATTGATACTTGCTTGGGTACTAATTTGTAATGTAGGTTTATAAAAGGGAATATTTTCTTTTTGTGAAACTGAAGCTTAATGCAGTGCTTTCCAAAAATTCAAAATCATTGTGCTTTTTCAATGTTTTCAGATGTTTCTGGTTTGGTCTGATGACAGCATCACTACAGTAAAGGGGTCTTATTGAACCTTTGTAACTAAAGATAAAAAATCACCAATGGGAAAAAAAATAAAATCAAGGAATAAACAGAATATCAATGAACATGTGAAATGTAATATAAATTTATCTAATAACAATGTAGTATGCTATAAATATCTCCTGATATAAAATTAAGGAGAATTCAGTAAGGCAGAATATTTTCTATGTGTTCAAAAGTCAAGTCTTTGATGGCCAATTTTATATTACTTCATTAAAATATCTCTACTGAAACAAAAGAAGTGTAAATCTTTCAGAATGAAATCAATTATCTTTAATTTTAGATAATATTTGGTATAGTTGACATTGGTCACAAAATGTAGCTAATATTAATGTAGCGTTACAATTTTAAACATTTTAGAAATTGTAGATCTTTTTTGAAATTCCAACATTTTACTTTGAAATTATTGTTAATATTTATGTTACACAACTACAAATGTAGAAATAAAATTATAAAGTCTCCAGATAATGTTTTATTTTAACCACACATATGTTGTGATAGTTCCAAATAAATGAAAGTTCTACTGACTTATCATTTTCAACATATTTATATTATTTAAGTAGTTTTAATCATATTTAAGTAAAAATACCTGAATAGTCATAAAGAAAATTTAATAAAAATATATAATACATTTCTAACATTTTTTATTTTTATGAAAACACTTACTAAGGAAGAAGCATTGTGTTTTTAAAATTTTTTTAAAAATCAACTTTTCAATAAGTTATTTAGGAATGATGAGAAATGTGCTGAGACAAAGAAGCAGTTGTCACTGTACACAAACATGAAATCAATTATCTTTTGGAGAGTTTATGATGTGTGAGAGCTGATGAAGTTACATTAAGGAAGAACATATAAAGAAATCCAAATATTTATATATTGTAGTATAGTTTTAGTATAAATCTCTAAGATTACATTTCAGACTAAGCCACATAGTCAAACTGTTGTCTATTTATTCTTTTTGAAGATTGAAACTCCCAGAACTTTGACAGACTATCTCTTCAGAAAACATTATTCTTTGACATCAATATGTTTTGCACAAAATTGAATGACAATTGAAAGGCATCAGACAGTGAGAATCTAGAAAATTGTGCATGTATGGGAAGGCTTTGCTCAATACAAATCACTTGCATGGGACAATCTTCTACAGTGACTTTATTATATATGGGAACAGAGAGGTAATATGAAATGGAATACGGCACAAGCAAACACAAAAATTCCAATACGTGGAAGAACAACTGTATGCCATCCAAGATTACAAAAAATAGAGAGAAAAATGACAGTAGGGAAAAGACAATATATATTTTTGAGAATAAAAGACAGTTTTGTTTTGCTAGTGGACACGAGATGAGTTGATGCAGTATGAAGGTGGATTCCATTTTTTTTCAAATAAAACATGAAGGAAGTCTCAAATAAATGCCCAATGTTTAAATTGCTTCTATGTGAATTTGAAGGATAGAGAATAATAAAACAACCAAATATATATAACATTACATTAAAATGATTCATTACAGCTTACAGAAAGTGTAACTAGAGACAGACATTTCTGGCTAATGTTGTAACAGGAGTGTACCATTTCCATTCTTCTCAGTTTCCTATCTCATTTATGTTCTGAAAGGATATGACTCTATATTATAATTATTCTGTCTCTATCTTTCTTTATTCATTTACCCTACTTTACTGAAAAATCTCAAACATCATGGAAACATGTCTTGGTTCTCCAAGTTTGAAAAACAAAATGTACAAAGCTCTTTTTTTTAATTTTGCCCTGACATTTGTATAATCTCCAGCCTAACTAGTCCCATATCATATTCTACCCCTCTTATAGCAAAATATCCCTTTTATAATGTCCTTGGCAGCTGGGCATGGTGGCTCATGCCTGTAATCTCAGCACTTTGGGAGGCCAAGGTGGGCAGATCACCTGAGGTCAGGAGTTTGAGACTAGCCTGGGCAACATGTTGAAACCCAGTCTCTGCTAAAAATACAAAAAATAGATGAACGTGGTGGCACCTGCCTATAAACTTAGCTACTCAGGAGGCTGAGGCAGGAGAATTTCTTGAACCCAGGAGGCAGATGTTGCAGAGAGCCGAGATCACACCACTGCATTCCAGCCTGGGCGACAGAGCAAGACTCCATAAAAAAAACAGAAAAAAAATAATGTACACTGTTGTTTCCATCCAAGCATCACTCAAATTACCATTCTCTGTCTCTGATTTGTTTCTACCAAAAGCTGCATCCTGCATATTTGGCAAAAGACCATTGTTTTTGTTTTTGTTTTTGTTTTTGTTTTTGTTTTTTGCCCACCATTCCAATGAATACAAAAATGACATTCTCAATATCAAATCAAATGATCACGTTTTTATTCTTATTTTACTCCACCTGTAAACTATGAAGGATGTAACCAGTCTATTTTTCTTTAAGCACATATCTGTATTCATTTTTATAACCCAGCACTCTTGACTGTTCCCTTACTGAATGTTTGTCCCTTCTTAGCATCCTTTGCCCATTCTACTCCTTTAAAAATACACTGTTCCAGTAATTGAAGAGTTATTTTTGATTCCTCTTTGTCAAACTAGAGTGAGCTCTTTCAGGCTCTGGATTTTGATACTAAATATGTGTTAGGAGTTCAGATTTTATATATGTATATTCTAGCTCAGATTCAGATATATATATTTCCTTCTTATTCTTACTGGGGTTCCTCAAGCAATTTAACATGTTCTAAATATTTCTTTAAAAGTCTTCCATGTTTATTTAGGTTTCAACTCTACCCACAGAATAGGCTACTTTAAGAATTTTATGATACCTACATAAAGATCTTTTACTTTCTATGATCTTCTACATCCAATAAAATAGAAGACAATGAGGCCTGCAGATCACTTGAGGTCAGGAATTCAAGACCAGCCTGGCCAACATGGTGAAATCACATATCTATTAAAAATACAAAAATTAGCCTGGTGTGCTGGTGGGCACCTGAAATCCCAGCTACTTGGTAGGCTGAGGCAGGAGAATTGCTTGAACCCAGGAGGCGAAGGTTGTAGTGAGCTGAGATTGTGCCACTGCACTACAGCCTGGGTAACAAAGAGGGAAACTATGACTCAAAAAAAAAAACCTATTACACATTCTTTAATTCTCTCAATTTTAATCAGCATCATTATAGAAACCTCCCCAATATGGAGTTTCATAATAACTGAGCTTTAAATTCCCACCATGATATGTTACTATATATTCTCCTCAAAAAAAAAAATTTTTTTACTGTAAAACATTGTTAAAAAGAAAAAAACAACATTGATTTCTCTGCTTCAGGTGTCTCCTTTTCTATGGCAGATGAAACTAGGTACAATCATTTGTTATTTGTTTTGGAGAGATGTGAAGCCATGCTCCATGACCTCTAAAACCTGGCAGATTGTATCACATACACTCTGGACCAACAGACTTACTACTTTCTGATTTGGTCTGATTAACATGATGTCAACAATATAGTAAAACAATGTGATATTCTTGTCATGTACAGTTTATCTAGGACTCTTTGGGCTATGTTAGACAAATGGGGTGAGAGTTAACATAATCCTTAAGCTAATTCATGAATGTATATTGTTACTATTTTACATAAATGTAATCGTTGAAGCCCTTATTTTCTCACAGGGGTGGGGGAAAATTGCCATTCTCTGATCAATGTCTGTATGTCATGAATCTGAGTGAGTGCCAACCTACTTAAGCCAATAAATTTCTGGAATCTGGATCTATGATTTTCTTGAATTTGCATTCATTTACTTTTATTCTCCAGAGTGCTTTGTAAGGGTCAGACTGGTAAATCAAAAAGAGGGTGTAAAGGGAGAATATCACCTGTGTCAGTTATTCAAGAATATCCAATCTCATACTTCCCCCTGCCACACAATACTATATTATTTTTGATATACTAGGTTGAGTAAGAAGCAGGACTTATTGATAATTCTACTTACCCTTCTTTACTACTGCAGATCTCACCCTACTAACCAAGGAACAAATATGGACAACTTTTTCAGCTAACAGAAAATAATGTTTGTCCAATTATACATTTGTGGAAAAGGGAAATGAAAATAAGTCTTTGGAGCCAGTGGACCCATTGCGAGCCCAGACTATGCTGGGACATTATTTATACTTGAAGTCCTATTAGCTGCATTTTTAAAGGTGGATCTCTTTATGTCAATGTCAATTGGATTCTAAATTGAACAATTCTCAAAAAGTTTGGACATAACCCTTATCTCATTGTTGGTTACCTGAATAAAAATCTATAATTTTTGTTTCAGAAAGGACTACTGTAATCATCACAATATACACACACTTGTCATGATGGTGCAAGAGCCTTTCTCTGGAAGATCTGGCCTCTCTTTCATTTAATAGGCTCTCAGTCTACAATGGTTGAAGAACAGGGCAAGGGAACAAAACTTTTCACTGGAATGACTGCTTTTAATCCCCAATCTTCCAATTTTATTTTGTATTTAATAAAACATTATGGTAGATTGAACAATTACATTATTGACTGAGACCATATGTTTTGCCCCTATGATCTTGTGGTCTGTTAACTATCTCTGTAGTTTTCTATGAATCACTTATTTTCCCATACACCCTTCCTTCCTCATTGTGACAATTGCACCTACCTTTCTTCTGATGGTTAAGTGCTGCCATCTGATCATTGAGATATCAGAATTCTATCATTCTCATTTCTATCATGGAAAAAAATTATGCGTCAACATTTTCTACCCTCAGGCCTAATCTGCAAAGCAGGTGGCATATGTGTTGCTCAGAGATACTCTTGCCTCACTCACAATCACATTTCGAATGACTTTGATAAATAGAACGTCCTTTGGAGCTTTCCCATGAAACATACTCCTCTTGTGGATTTGTTGGATTTGCACAGCATGTCATGTTTACATGCTCACTTTCTCTGTCTTTATAATTGTACTTAACTTATCTTTCATAACAGTTCTGGAATTCTTATTTGTCTTGCTGTCTCCAAATTATTAAGACAAATATTAGCAATGATTTAGTGTTTTATCCCAAAACACTAACCAAAGTATTAACGACTACATTTTGGAACAGTGCTCATAAAATAACTTTTTTTTCATATCCAACTTTATATTTTGTTCCCTTGATCAGATACATATAGGATATAATCACAATCATATTTATTTGTGTCCAAAAGTTATATGTTGACTTGTTATTGCTCCTATTTGGAAAGATAATACCTACTCTTAGAATACTTGGCTCGTTCCAAGTAGGGTTTATTAGTCTGTTTCATACTGCTATCAAGATACTACCCGAGACTGGGTAATTTATAAAGAAAACAGGTTTAAGTGACTCATAGTTCTGCATGGCTGGAGAGGCCTCAGGAAACTTACAATCATGGTGGAAGGAAGGAGAAGCAAGTACCTTCTTCACAAGCTGGCAGGAGAGAGAGCACTTTTAAAATTATCAGATCTCAAGAGAATTCTCTCATCTTCATAAGAACAATATGGGGGAAACAGTCTGCATAATCCAATCATCTCCTACCAGGTCCCTCCATTGACATGTGGGGATTACAATTTGAGATGAGATTTGGGTGGTGGCACAGAGCTATATAATAGAGTTATGTTGTACCTTTACCCTATCTTTCTTCTTGTGATAAGACAGGAGGTAGGAAAAGGCAGTGAGCGATGAGAGCATAGTCTTCTAAGGCATTGTTTTCATACAAGTTAAACTCTATTTTTCTAGCTTTAAAATTATAGGATTGGGTAACACCTACAGAAGGAAGAGATATATAATTTATTTTTGTAATAGGAAACTCTCTCATGTAAGTTATCATCTGATTTTTTAATTCCCTGTACTGCCCCAATTAATGCCTTGAACTCGGTATCAGACATATTGGAGTAAAAATTTAACTTTAGGAATATACTTATAATATAACTAAGCCTTGGACTAGAGGCCTGGCTTTTTCCTGCATTCTTGATTAATAAGAGCGTGTTTGTATGCCACCAAGACTTCCTCTGATACTCACACTTTGTGTTTAATTGCCGATCAATTATTTTCAGTTTTTGATTATTCCCAGCATTAATT